TTGCGATCTTTATTTCCGATCAGTTTACAGGCGTGTAAATGGCCGAAAACATTTATTGTGATTAAAGTTATTCCAAGCTGATCTCGTTCTCAGTGCCAATAATTGTGGTGCAGAGTAATCTTCACCAAACGAGACTCTGGCAGCAATAGCACCATCATGAAGCAATCACCCTCTCGTACAGGAGATCATTGTTGACTATTTTAAATTGGTACTTCAATAAACTGTCATAAATTAATTAATTCAACTGCGTGATTAAGTTATTCCCTTTTCTTTCCTAAGCGAAACAGATTTATTCTTATCTCTATTTATCAACCCCTAACATTGAACGTAACACTGTATAAAAAGTGTTCGAGTTATATGGCGCATTTGAACTCGTCTGTCAAAAAATTGGCGCATGGTATGCCAAAGGTTGGCCACCCCTGCTCTAAGCGAACAACAGCCCGGGAGATAAAAACAGAAATTGGTCTCAAAATAATGACCGTAAAAGAGCAACAATTCACTGATTTGATTGGTGTGCACATTTGTGTAGCAAATTATTTTGAGGTTTTAGTTTTATTTACTCTTTATCATAATTAAGTACCCGATTTTCCAATTCAGTCCAATCAGTCAAAGGCAAGGCATAGAAAAATTAGTGATATGTAGGAGTTTTTCAGCAAAGTGGATAGGAACAGGTAATGATGCTTCTGATGTTGACGTATACATGCGATATGTACTGTATAAATATTATAAATAATGACAATGGGTAAGGAAAGTTTCTTATTGACGGGTTTTGAATGTATGTACAAAATAAGGGACACATTGCACTATTTTATTCCTGTTTCTATTTTTAATTTTTGTAGTAGATTGAGATAAAACAAAAAACACTATGGGAGAGAAGACTATTTATTTGCTAGTATAAAATATTGTGGAGGATATGTCCCTTCTGTCTCTTATGGATCTACACCCTTAACCTACAGTGACCATATTTTTTGAGGGAAAATAAAGGACATATCGAAGAAAATCAAAAATACCTTATAAAATTCACAAGTTTATAACATTTATTACGAAAATAGTAGCATACAA